GTTCTGGGTGAAGCCCTTCCCGCATTGGGAGCACTCGTAGGGCCTTTCGCCCGTGTGGGTCCTCTCGTGAACGATGAGGTTCGAGCTCCGGCTAAAGCTTTTCCCACAGTGGGCACATCGGTAGGGTTTCTCCCCAGTGTGGGTCCTGACGTGATCCAGAAGGTTTGAGCTCTGACCGAAGCCGATCCCACACACGACGCACTTGTACGGCTTCTCACCCGTGTGGGTTCTCTCGTGTGTCACGAGCTTGGAGCTCTCAATGAACCGTTTCCCGCACTCGGCACACTGGTACGGTTTTTCCCCCCTGTGGATCTTCTGATGTCGGGTCAGGAGCGAGCGCAGGCTGAAGGATTTCTGGCACTCGGGACACCTGTACGGTTTCTCCCCCGTATGCATGCGCTGGTGGCTGGTGACTTGCGAGCTTTGGGAGAAGCTCTCCCCACAGTCTAAGCACTGGTACGGCCTCTCCCCCGTGTGGGTCCTCTGATGGCTCATAAGGTTTGAGCTGCGGGTGAAACCCTTCCCACAGTTCAAGCATTTGTAGGGCTTCTCAGCCATGTGGGTTCTCTGGTGACTGAGGATGAGGTCAGAACTGTCTGTGCAGTTGTACGTTTTCAAGCTGCAGCTTCTTCCCTCACAGCCAGGCCAGTCTGGGTCCACAGCTGAGATCCATTCCCTCTCGCTCTTGTAAAGCCTCTGCTGAATTTTAGCAGCACTGGGGTCACTGTTGCTATCACTTTCTTCTCTTCCAATGGATGGCCTATTCCGCTTGATCCCACTGACAGGTCCCTGCTTCCCTTCCACATGATCCGAGTTCTTGGAAAGTTCCTCCTCAGTCCATTGTTCGGACATGTTCTCCTTGGCCTGCCCTGGCGCTGCCACTGGCTCGCTTCTTCTGCATATGTAATTCTCTTCCTTTTCACTTCTCTGTGCATCTGGAATAAAACAGCAATCACGTGAATCACACCCAAGGACCAGGGGTTGGGAACCTCTGGTCCCAAGGCTGAATGTGACCCTCTGGAGTAACTGGTATAATGTACAGTGGTGTCCTGCATTACGATGATAATCCATTCCAGGAAAATCACTGTACAGCTAAATTGTCGTCATGCGAAAAGCCTTTCCCCACTGGAATGCACTGAAACCCGGTTTAATGCGTTCCAATGGGGAAATTACCTCATCGTCCAGCAAAGATCCTCCATAGGGCGGCCATTTTGAGAGTGCCGATCAGCTGTTAAAATGGCTGTCCTGCGAAGCATGGGTCTGGAAAACACAGGGCAGCCATTTTACGAACCCGACGATCAGCTGGAAAGATTGTCGTCTTGTGAACAGTTCGCAAAGCTAATCAACATCCAGCGAAAAAACCCCATAGGAATAATTGTTTTGCTATCGCTATAGCGATCACAAAAAAGTCACCATCCTGTGGATTCGTCGTACAGTGGGGTCGTCATCATGCGGGGCACCACTGTACATTGATTTCATGATTTGAGTTCTGAATTTATGAATCAAGGCTTGATTTCATTATTTGAGTTCTGAATTTATGAATCAAGGCTTGGCTTAGCTAGAAGTAGATTCTGGCGTGAAGACAAGAATTCAAAGACCATACATATCAAAGAATTAAAACGGGTACCAGCCTGGCTGGAAGTATTGTTAAAACGAAGCTCTAATATGTAAATACCCAAATGGTCCTTACACACACACACACCCCCGGAAATAAGAGCCATACCTCAATGGGAAGGGAGCTATTCAGAGTTGAATGGAGGCATCAAAGGATTGATTGATTGATTGATTTGGCTTTTATACTGCCCATCTGCCTGGAAGGCCACTCTGGGCAGTTTACAATATTATGACATAATATAATAAACAGCAATTTAAAATCAGTAAACATAATAGCTATAAAAATCAAAACAAAACAACATAAAATTAACTAGAAATAATGTAAGGTAGTTTAAAGGCAAGGTGGTGGAAATGATAATATAAACACTGAAACAGCCACTGTGACTATGGTGTTATAAAGTCTGGGCAGGCCTCTCTAAAAAACCATGTTTTCAGTGATTGTTTAAGGATTCCAAGTGAAGGGGAGAGGTGAATTTTGGGTCAGATCAAAAGCGGTGCCATGCCAGACATCAGGTCTAAAGGATTAACATCCCAAACCCTCAAAGACAACTTTGTGCAAAGGTAGAAAAGGGTCCAGTTCTCCAGTGAGAGCTGGACCATAAAGAAGGCTGACCGCCAAAGAACTGATGCTTTTGAATTGTGGTGCTGGAGGAGATGCTTGAGAGTCCCCTGGACTGCAAGGAGATCAAACCTATCCATTCTGAAGGAAATCAA